CAGGGACTATTAGCTTTTACTGTATCCTCAAATGATCTCTTAATTAAAAATACTACTATCTGAATCCTTACTTCCCTAATGATCCAGTTCAGATACTTTATTAGTCCAATGGAAACATATTGATGCTAGAATAGATCATACTAATTACAACAAGACAGTTATTTTAAAGACTGGATTATTAGACTTCTGAATATTACAGAATAATAGCTGAATCTTACAAGTCACTTGAGTTTGGTTTAATTGTCCAGTTTACATCACGCAGTAGTTCTGAGAGCAGCTTGACTCCTGGTTCTCCGTTGTTGTAGTTCAGACTCATCGAATTCAGGCGTGAGGTCTGTGAACGGCATACTGAAGCCAGATAGTGACAGCTTTTATCTGTCAACTTACAGTCCACTAATCTACAAACAGACATGGAGACAAAGAAGACATCTGTGACATTACAACTCATCACAAAGCTTACTAAATCTGCATGAGGTACAATTAGCTGCTAACTGCAATCAAATCAAAGTTATAGATTATCAGTAAAACAAATGTTTGCTTCCCCAGTCTTTATTTAAATGATTAACTTGACTGTTTTTCAATTCCTGTTTATGTTTTGGTCTCGTTTTGGTATCTGTCTTTTTATTCGGATAAAATCCAGAAATGGGTGGGGCTTAAACCAACCATCATCTCGAATAAATTAGAAAATTGTGTTTCAAATATGTTTTGATTAAAACATTCAATGAAATGTTAAACATAAGCTGTGATTTCTGAAAGATGCAAGATTAAGAAAGATTAAGAGATGCACAGAGACGGATACACAGATTTTTGATTTGCGCTCATTATTACGTAGTGGTTTATGTATAACGTTTTGATATCTATGGTTCGTCTTTTATCCAGCAAACATGAGGAGTGACTGTGTCTGCCGAATATTTTTTCTTATTATTCCAAATAATTTTTAAGCCATTATTCCGTGCCTTTCCGAATAAGATATTTGGCTTCTGGCACATCCTTACTACAGAGTTTCCTCATCTTCAGTTCTGAGCTTCCTACACTGCTCAGAAAAAGTGACAGTGAGACTTATTTGATTTTTAACATTAGATTCGATTTTAACTATTGGCCCAAACAAGTGATTCACGATTTATAAATCCATGTTTCAAGATCAATTCATATGCATCAGCAGGATTTGTAACCAATGCATTGAGAAAAAGAGTGAATCATTGCGCCCCTATACCATGTGTATCCCATCAACACACAAAAACACATCTGAAGCTCAGACCTCAAGTTCTTCAGCTGAGAGTTAGGGCTCTTCAGTCCGTCACAGAGCAGCTTCACTCCTGAGTCCCGCACGTCATTGTTACTCAAGTCCAGCTCTATCAGACGGGAGTTTGATGATCGTAGAGCTGATGCCACAATTTTACAGCACTGACCCGTGAGTTTACAATATGCCAAACTGAAGAAAAAAAAATATATGGATAATTACACATCCATTTATTATAAACTGATAAAAGTGGAATCTCTCTCATATCATAAAATAAAAGTTTTGCTGAAAGAAGAATATGTTTTTGACCAGTTGATCTGTACAGCCATATACAACATGATCTCATGAGTATTAGTATGTGTTTTATGTAGTGTTGTTCTACCAAAGTACATTTACTTGCGTTTGAATAGACACGGAAACGTAATATAGTAACTTATTGTCAACATCTAAACGTACAATACTGTCGTATACCAGACATCTAAAACGTAAATTATTTACAAATGAATCCTTATGAATATTGAAATCGAAGCATTTGTCATTTTGATTATAATGTATTCAGTTGTCATATCAACGGCATTATGTTTTCAGTTACATTTATTAAATGCATATACTCATTTAATTAATATGAATTGATTACATTTTATGTTCTGTGTGATTTCTGCTGTCACCTTGTTTTTAAGAATTACATAATGTTAAAAAAGACTACACTTTAAAACCTTCAAATGAATAACATTTCTGTCATTTATAACCATTGCTTATCATATAATATTTACTTCCGTGGGACACAAAAGGCGTTTTCTCCGTCATACTGCAACTGACAACAGAAGTATAAAATACCAAGAATGCAATATAATTACAAAAGGAATCAATTTTATTCTTGCGCTGTAATCCAAATCTTCAGAACCCATACGAATGTGAGGAACAGACCTAAATTCAAGCCTTTTTCAATGGTCTTCATCTCTGTCTTCATAAACATCAACCACAAGCATCAAATCTCGTGCTCATTACAAACGCAAAACTAGTTGCTTCAAGAGGCTTCACAACAGGTTTTACGGCAGTGTAGTCAAACGCTCATTGGCTCTCACCTGCTTCGTCACAGATTGCCAGATGCTGTATTTGGGGTGCTGTGCGTTTGAAACAGAAATGTGCGCCTTCACGGAGTGGATCTCGACAATATTTTCAGCGATTAACAACTTTTAAACAAAATTCTGCTCTGTTCCTCACACAAAACTATTGTATTCTGGTTGAGGACTGTGACTGCAACGCATCTGTCACGGAGTGACTGAGACGTGAGATGTGCAGATCCAAGTGCGAAGCTTTATTAACCGACATGGTCAGAAACAGACAAGGGTCAGACAATGGCAACAGGTATATAGAGGGCAAGACACAAGAATATTCCTAGGGCTAGCGTGGGTCGGTC